TCATGTCTGTCACAATCAAAAGCTCATTCTGCAGGAATTAGGTTTTCCCTTCCTCTCCAGTGGCTATCCCTTATTTATGCTAATCCAGTGACTAAGCCTTCAACTCTTCATGGCTTGTATTATCCCTCTCTTTAGAACTCAATGCTGAAGACAGAAGTTGGGGAGGGTTTTTTTTCTGATCATAAAAGACAGTTGACAAATTAGCAGAGAATCTTCTCAGAAAGAAATATAAAGCATTTATCTGTATCTCAGCTTTGTCAATCTGATGTTTTTGATGTTTTGCTTGCACACTCGTGTATAAGATCAGCTAGTACCATCCCTGTACTCTGATCCCTTTGGCAATAGGCTCTTCAGCTATTCAAGGCTAATCATTATTCTGAAATCATTCCTAAAAAGCAAGGCATTTGTTCAGAAGACAACTTCAGAATTTAAATTAAACCCTTAAGTCAGCCACCTGTTTTGGTCTATTTACAGGACTACTGGAGACATGCTCTGAAATGCAGTTACAGTACATCAAGGCTCCAATTGCCAAGAAAATCCTTGTATTCTACTGCACCTAATTTAGAAATTATGTACTGAAAAGGGTTTCTATTTAAAGCTCAAGCATTATAAAAAAGTAGATGAAACCAATACCTTGGAGTAAACATATTCATGTTATTCTATTACTGCAGAAACTGCAGTCCTTCTGCTGCTATTTTAATTGACAGTCACTGGACAACAAATTTAATTAAGTTCATTTATTCCACATATTCTCTTTTTTTTTGGCTTTTTTTTTCCTTGGCTGAACAAGGGGCAGCAGAGGTGGTGGCTGATTTGATCCATGTTCAAGATATGACTGGTGAAGTGGCTACTACCTCAGAGGAGAAAAAGGGCCAATATAATTGTCTGTTAGGCTGAGGCAACTCTGCTGACCTTCCTCTCCCACTCAGTCGATTTTTTTCTCCCCATTAAAACCTTGAACATTTCTTCCTCTCCTTCCCCAGAAAAACAACCATTTTTCACACCTCCGTTTCCATTGCCAAATGTGATTGAAATCAAACATGTTTCCCAGAAACTGGCAGGGGGTGGAGGGCAGATGGGAAAACAACATGGCTGTAAAGACAAGTTATTGCCTTAGAGAAACCAGACTAAAAGCAGTAGTTCACATTTTATAACACGGTATTAAATAACTTTAAAACATTTAGTTAAAATATCTTAAAATACTCTGCATTGTACTATATTTTAATTATTAAGGAGATAAGAAGACTGACGTGTCTTTTCAAATTGTTACCTCAACGATATCTGAGTTGGTTCTGCTTTCGTGGGGCTCGTTGTATTCTGTGTATTTTAGTAGAACTTTGTCCATGTCAGTGCTGGCATACTGAAAGAGTTTGTTAGAGCTGTTAAAAATGATGAGTGCTATTTCACAGTCACAGAGCACACTCAACTCATAGGCCTTCTTCATTAATCCAAACTTCCTCTTCGTAAAGGTGACCTAGAGAAGAAAGAATAATGATTGATTTATTTTTTTAAAAACACGTAACAAGGGTTTGAAGGAAAATAATCAAGGAATACACTGACTGAGCTTACACCATTTACTCCTACTGTCATATGCAGCTTAACACAAGAACTGCCTGTAATATCTGGTGCCAATTTTAGGGCCCAGTGCTCTCTATTAGACTAAGTTAAACAACTAAACACCCCCAACCCTTCCAATGGTAAATAACTACCAATGAGAGTTAAATTTTAGTTAGAGTTTTAGTTAGAATAGGATAATTTAGCTTTATTTCCTCTGTTAAACAGATTGACTTTCCAAGTATCACAGTATTTTCTTCTATGGTACTTACAACCAAAGAAAACAGAACAATCAACGGAAACAATTGTTACTATGCAGTATGAGTTCTAATTATGTAAAGCTAAGAAATATTGCTATTTTGTTGCTATGAATTAATCCAATCAGATTCACTTATAATTTGACTTGTCTTCTGCCACTTGGAAACATCAGGAAACAATTGCTCTGTCCAGTTTGAACTGCTGTGGGGAAACAAATCCATTACAGACCATCACACAGGAACATCTGCCCATCAGGGAAGGAGAAAAGAGTTATGAAAGTTACCATCAGTCATGATTAAAAGAAAGTTCAAAAAACGATTCCTTTCACAAGACAGCAGCTAAGGATATAAAAGTGTCAATGCATTTGACACCCCCCTATTTGAGTCTCTGTGCCAGGTGAGTGATCCACATGCCCCATGTCCACACACAACAGTCAATGGATGAGCTTTTGCAAGAGAGGAATGAAGTAAGAAACAATCAAACCTGTTTTCTGGGTTTCTGTAGTTTAATTACCAAGCTGTACATCAAGTTTTTGGGAAAATGGATGGGAAGCTTCTTCTGTATATACACACCTGAAGGCTTTTTTGTCTTCACTATCTCACACATTACTTTTTAAATGCCATTAATAACACAAAATATTTCCTATTCTTCCCACCACGTTAGTCTCAGAGGATACACAGACACAGCTGTTGTTCTTCTGACACTTAAAAGGTTATTACCTGAGTATGAGCAGGTATAGAGAGGCACTACTGTTTAGTGTTTGTCAAGAAAAAGGCATCACAAACAAGATGTGTGTGTGCTGTGTCACTGGACAACTCCACAGACAAAAGAATGAAGGTTTACTGCCACTGAGAACCAGTAGGATCCTGGACAAGAGCTCTTAATTTCTTTACTGGAATTTCATCTTTCTCACCTCTTGTAAGGCTGCTTCACTTGTGAGATTCTCAGCTGGCATCAACTTCTCACTTGGTGCTTGGACAGTGCTTAGCACAAACCCCTCCACGGCACTCCAAGCCTTACTTCAATGCACACAGATTATTTTAAACTATGCTTTAATTTCAGAACCCAAAAGTAATCTTAGCTCTGAAAATTTCTCTTTTTTTCCTTCCATTTAGGACCACATCAAACCCAGAAAACATGTCTCTTTATTGCACGTAAATCATTTCCCCAGCACTATTTTAATATTGCTTAGCAAAAAACATGAGTGAGGAGGAGACAGCAAAGGCAGCAAGATTGAGCTCCTTTGATATTTAATTTACTGCACTGGATTCTCTTCAGCTTAATGAAGATAAATGTCCTACAGCTCATTCAAGCAGATAAAGCTGCTTAATTAATAATACAATGACAGTCTCATGACAATCATAATCCCCCCGAGGAATGGTCTATATATTCTGTTTTGAGCTCACATGCAATTCCATCAGAAATAAGATGCTTCTGACAAAACAGTAGTTTTCCTTCCCACGCAAGTTATATGAACTTGCTTTGCAGGCAAAGCTCTGTCCCATTCTACTTATATTTTCCAAAAAAAAAAAAAAAAAAAAAAAAAAAAAAAAAAAAAAAAAAAAAAATCTAAACCTCAAACTAAACATCCAACCAGGCATGTCCACGAGTGACCTGCTCAGGCAGCTCTACATGCCATAGAAAAACGGACAGGACACAACTGAACTTTCTGTTCAGAACAAACCCTGAATATCCTCCTTATCTGGGAAGTAAATGCCCACTGCATCAGGGCATTCTAATATGTTAAAAATTTTTAACCTGGCTACCAAAGCCAGAGAGGACAAAGGACAACAATACTTCTACATATAAAAAGTAGGATTCCACTAACAAAAACTATTTAATTTCTCTGAAGCCTTTTAAAAACAAGATGCAGTGTGTTTTCGTCTGATTTTCCAAAGAAAAAGGGTAAGGCAAGCCTAATTCTACTTATAAGTTAGACCTTAAATCCCTTTCCTCATCACTAAATAACCCAAAAAGGTGTTAGCCAAGAACCTGTCAGAAACACAACTCCCTATTTTGTTTCAGTCACAGCAATGGTGTAAGTGGTCTAAAATTTTGTACTAATGCACCGATTCTCTTCCTCTCCATTGTTTCCATCTGAACAATGGGATGGGGATTCAAAAGAAAAAAACAATTGCTCCTAGAATAAAAAAAACACATCACCCAAGTCAGAGAAGAAGTACAACCTATTTGTTTTTCAAACAGAACAAAACCAAGGTTGGCCAACTTAATCCAGATTCATTAAAAAAAGAATAAGCAGGATCAATTTCCACCTCTTCCATGTGCTTTAGTTGTAGAGCAAGACCTGGAAAGAACTGAAGTCATTAATTCATCTACTTTTACTACGTGTACTTAAGACATTTATCTACATCAAACATAAAGTCACTGGGTGATTAAAGCTGTTCAAACACAATACTTGGCTTTCTCCCAAACTCCAATAATACTTTTCTTGCTATATATAGACTTCTCAGAGTTTACATTGCTTTAAAGTGATACAGGGAGAAAAACAATCTTGATTTCACCAACAAAACAATGGGCTCTGAGCTGATGTGTCAGCAGCAAGAGAGTCCCATGGAATTCTGACACTACCCCAACGTCAAACTGCTGCTCAGAAGTTGAAAAGGAAGTCAAGCAGCAGGAAGGGAACAGAACAAAACAGCAGCACACCAACTATATAAGTCCATATTTTGCCTGCATCCTGAATTCTGGGTCCCTTGGCCATCAAAAGCAATGGAGCAATATTCCAGAAGGTTCAAGGGAAAGGAACAAGAGGTGTGGAACAAATTCTGTATTAAAGCAACTAAGCATGCAAGGCAGCAATAGCCTGAAAAAACTTACTTTAAGAGAAAAATAAGCAAATGTGGACAGACTCTAGATAGGGAGTCACTGTTGCCTCTTCCATACAAGAGCTAAATAATTGGCAGAATCATGACAAGGGGTAAATAAAATGGTGTTTCTTGAAACAACAGGCAATAGACCTATGGGAAATTCTAGACAAAACATGTTGTAAATGCTGCAACGTTTTAAGGACTCAAAGGATAACTGAACAACTTCACTGGTGGGGGGTGGGGAAAACAAACAAAAAGAATCCATTAATGGTTACTAAATATACGGAAACCACATCCAGCTCAGGAAATCCCTGAGCTAAGAATAGTTAAAAGCTGGAAGAGGATTACAGAGTGGTGTAACATGTGCATCTCCAGCCCACACGGATTTGCTCACAACCATCACTGGACAAAAGATGCCAGCCCAGCAGCACCTCTGGCCTCAGCCACCAGCACTGTTCTTAAAGATCTTTTGTCATTCCTGTAATAATTTGTCTTAAAAATGACAGTTTCCAGTTATCCCACTATATATTCCAGTATCCAATTAAAATTTTATTTTGTATCTTATGCAGCAATTTAGAAATTAAGGGGCAACATTACTGCAAGGGTCATCAACTTTTGGTACTTTTCAGGTTCACAGGGCATCTCTGTTAGGGCACAAGCAGCCAAGTGAGCAGCTTTCCCCCAAACATTCATTTTGAGCCCTCTTCCCTTCTGACTGGCAATTTTTAAAGACTGTTGTGGCAAATAGCTCTTAAAAGAAATACAAATCAATGCTTTTAAAGAGAGCGTTAACAGAATTTGCTATTGTATTCAAAGCCCTGTATATACTGCCCACAGCTACCTCAAACTCCTCAAAGTGCTACAGAAAATACCTTTACTAGATCCTTCCTGAATTTCTCATCCTTTCTCTGTCTCCAGCAGTAAGTGTTCCCAGTAGTTATTAGATCAAGTCATGTGTCTGTTTAAAAACACTCCTCCACTCTACTGGTAGTACAGTAGGGTACCATTTAAATAGGAACAGCAATTTTAAATTTTAAGTAGTAAGAGTTATTACTAATAAATAACATCTTTTCATCAAACAGTCATAAAATCATTGAGTGTCTTATTCATAAGCTGGCAAGGGCATCTGTGGATATATGAAGACAAAGCTCAACTTTAGAACAGTGAATTAGGATGAATGTATTCAAACTTTCTATTAATTTTTAAAATTACTGATGGATCTGCTCATGCACATCTCTTGTTTCTCACCTGTCTATTCCGTTCATCCATTATTCTCGTGATCTGTATTTTCTTTCTCCCCATTTTCGCCTCTTCTTTCTTTTGCTTAGCAATCCAGAAATAAACTAATCCGAGAAATGTCCCTCTTCAGTGTTCTAACACATGATACAGTTTTCTTTTACTTTGTCTTCAGATTGAGAAACGGTTCCTACTTCTTCTTATAAGCACCTAAAAGAGAATTTAAAATATTAATGTAGAAATTACTAAAAAGGAAGTATCATTAAAAACCCATAGAGCCAAAAAACACGTGCACCATAAAATTTCAGTAAGAAATCAAGTGTTCCCATTAGTAAAATATTATACTACACACTCTCTTCCAATTAAACTCCAACCAGTTTGCTGCATTCTACTTACAAACGACAGATTTAAAATGGCCAATAATTTCACACACTTCCAACTGAATGCCTTAAAAATAGAATTGACAAAGGGGTGGTGCTCATCACTCTAAGTTTTAGGCCTTCAGTTATCTGAGGTTTCACACATTTACAAGTTTTGGTAAACTCCATTCAGTATTTTAGGAACCTTATAAAGAAACATTCTGGGTTGCTTGTTTCCTCTTGTAAAATTACCACAAAAACAACAAAACAAAGCCATGAGAATATCAAGTTTCTGTTCCTAAGCCAAATTACATCTCCTTTTGTGAGCCAGTTATTGGGGTTCCATTGGGAAACAAGAGGGAGAAGGAAAGAGGGAATTTCTCTGTTTAAAAAAGATCACAGAAAACAGCTTTGCAACAAAACTATTTCATGGTTACCAAGACACCAACAAAGACCTAAGACCTGACACAGTTCCTCTCCCTCCAATACCCTGGAAGTGCCCCATTTGCAGCCCAGTACCTGTTTCATTTTTATACTGTTCACCAGGATAAATGTGCAGGAAACTTGAAAAGCCAGTGTGCCACAACATTTAAATCTGCACTGAACTATCTGATATTTAACAAACTTCAAATGTATTTTCAGTAAAAAAATTGCTAAGCCATATTCCAGACATATTGCTTGAATTGTAGGATAGCATTAGTTGAAGAAAAAAACGGTGAACAATTTAAATTAAATGGCTTCTAGAACATAAAGGGTATACTAGAACGTAAAGACATGAAATAGGTACACCTTATTTACCTTATTATCACCTGGGACTCATTCAAAGGGGTAAAATCAGCTCCAATATCAGCTGATAACTTCTCTAACTTCCCAACCCAAACCCTGTTCTGAAGTCAAGCCTTGCATATTTTAATCTGGGTGTCACCACGCCATATCCTTGAGGCCAAGTGTAGAAAGTGGTGCAACCACATCACCATCAGACAGTTAATGAGCAGAGACAGCGAGAGGCGATTAGTCACAGGCTACACTTCACAATACATTCAATTTCCGCCGAGGAAACAGACATGATGTTCTTGGGAGAAAAAAAAAACAGAGGTGGAGGAACATTGCAAAATGAAGAGATGTCATTTTATTTACCTGACAGCAACAAAGGACTGCTTAAAAAAAAAAACCAACACAAAGTGCCCAAGAGTATTTAAAAATACTGTTTCATGAAATTTAAAATCAAATCCACACTTACAAAGTATGATGTCCACTGGTCTAAAGGATATGCACTAAACATTGTCTATAAAGCAGAACATTTGAAAACATCCATCAACGCTGCATTGCTTTTGTTTTCTTATGAAAAAGGATTTCTTCCAAGGGTCTGCTAAGAAGGTAATTAACAGCCAGTGAAGACCAGATGAACCAGCCTCTATACAACCAATAGCACACAGGGAATATCTTCCAGGGAAACAACAGTTGGCATATCGATTTATCTCACTTTTGTTTAAAAAAATTTCTCAGCTCATGCTATGATCACACATTAAATTTAGTTCTGGAAAAATCTGGTTGCATCCCTTGAACATATCTAATCAAAAGATCTCTTAACTAGCTCTTAAAATTTTGTTTTCTCCTTTATGTGTGGCTTCATTTTTTAAACTTACCATGTATTATTGAAACAGTTCACTGAATACAGAATTACCAGAGTCCTTCCTCTGCTTTTAAAAGTCCCCCCCCATCATCACTAGTACAGAGAAATGGCCACCACACAAGGCTGAAGATCCATCTGGTGCAGCATTTTATCGGTGGCTACTAGCAGGTATCACTAGGATGGTCAAGGAAGAACATGGGAATAGAATAATAAAAATATAAACCACATATTCAGTGGGTTTTGAGTCAGGAACTTCTGGAGTCGTTCTGCCTCCTGTGACACAAAGTCAAAGACAAGTCTATGCAGTGAATAAAATAAGGAACTCTGGAGAAGAGGGAGAGAGGAAGATAAATATGATGTGAGATTATGCAATATATATACTAAAGAATACAAAGAAAGAGATGCACAAATGTTTTGTATGAGCTAATGGAAGGCACAGTAGCAGGGAAACACTGTTATCTGCTCTGTGTACTATCACACAAAGAGAAATGGGAAACAGTAATTTTCACCAACATTTTGTTACAGCTTTGGGGTGTTATTTCAGGTCTTTTACAATGCTTATGCTCTATCAGGCATAGAAGCCTCAAGTTTTTTCCAATGTATGACAGTTCACTGTTCCCTCTCATCTTGGGTCTGACTTTCTTCAACCTTCAATACTTGTATCCCTTAGAAATTCCCAATTCCTATTCGCACGTGTGGCCAGCCCGGGTCCAGGCTCTCCTCCCTCTCCCACAGGTTGCTATGGACACGAGAACCTGGCCTGGAATCCCATTTTCCAAAGGCAGACCAGCTCCAGGATGCAGCATCCCTGTCATTCTGAAGTCCCACACAAGGTGATTTTTAAAGCTCTGAATTGAAACAGAAGTTTGGCTTGAGCTCAGGGCAGAAAGGACCTTGACACAGCTGCAAAATCAGACAAAACTGTGCAGTAAAGAAGCACTTTTTCATGCATGCTCAGAACATCCCAATGGGAAGTTACTGCAGTGACAAAGGCATGTCACATTTCTAATGAGAAAAATGACTTTTCCTTTTAGTCATCCTTGGTCGTGTCACAGCTGTGGTTTTATTTTCTATCCTGACTAGCAACAAAACTATGAACGATAAGATGTAAGACTGGGTCTAACACAGGGCTCCATCTGAAATATAACCAGCAAAGCTTTCATTTCGCTAAATCACAGTTGCATTACAAACATATATCGAGTGGAGTTCTTAATTCACAAAGCCATTTTATCTAGACTATCAATACACTTTTGCCCAAATAAAGGAAAAACCTGCTGACATACATATGAACATCAACCCACATTTACATTTGAGAGTAAACATGAAACTAACACGAAGTAACCTTGATGAAGGTAAAGTTCTACTTCCTTAAATGACAGAATCCAATCACAGCCACCAAAGCTGCTTCACATTACTTGCATGAGCACACAGAAGAAAAAATTAGTTTGTCTTAAAGAAGGACTTCAGGCATCTATTAAATAAAATAATTAGAGTAAGAAGAGAAAAAGAAGGAAAAAATCCCACATGCTTCATTATGAGCTTCAAAGAAAATAACGTCAGCCTGCTATAGACAACAAAAATTATATTTGTAGTTGTCCATGTAATAGCCCCCCTTATTGTTTAAAAGTAAACAATTACAATTTTCTGGATTTATTCCCTTCCCCAAAACATGTGAAAACAGCACACTAATTACTGACAGACAACAGAACCACATGCAGGAACATACCCTCACAACAACATCTCCAGGAGCCCATCGGAGTTTGTTGTTAAGATCGCTTTCAGTTTCACAGATTGTTGAGAGAGATGTAACTTTAAAGCAAGGAAACTGTACTTGACCTATTTAAAAAAATTCTTTCAAGGGTTCAGTGGAAACACATTATATCTGTGCAAAACTGCACAAGGTCTGGAAGCCTCCTGGCAGAACAGGTTAGGAAAAATTGTGTCAGAATCATACTCCTTCCATTTAATTTCCTTTTATTTCCCTCTGACTGTTTTCTTGAAACTTCCATTTCACCACCATGGTTACAGGTTACATCTGACAGTCCCCGTCTCCTCACGGCTCATTTACTGCAATGCACACAAAGGAATGAGTGTCCTGACGTCAGATCATTTGCATGAAAACACAGATCTGCAGAGATGCATCTTACACAAGCCTTGGGTACGGCTTACTAAATAGCAGAGAGTCATTTTTGCTAAACCAAGATTAATAGGTTTTTTTCCTAGTCTTAAAGGAGCCTGTGCAGGTATTTTTGTAGATTTGGCCCCTCGACACGAACTGAGGAGCACAGACTGATCATGGCTGAACTGCATAGCTGCTGGTTATTCTGACACTTTGCACACCTACACCAGCAGAATATAAAAATTCCCATTCACAGCAACACAGAGATGAGCCCCACCACGTGCTGGCTGTTGCACACCAACAAGGCAGATAACACAGAGTATCTCATTTTTCCATACTACTAAAAATGGACAAATGTCAGTGTCCTCTCTCCCTGCCCCTGTAGAAGTAGCTAGGGGGAAAACAAAGGAGTCAAAGAGTGTCTTCAGCAAGATAATTTATCTAAAGGTTAAAGAGCTGTGTGGAGCAAGGTCAAACATGATTCTCAGATTCCATTACACTGTCCAGAAGTGAGAGAGAAGAACATTTTCTTCTTCAGAACCTCAAAGAGATGCAAACCACGTAAAGTACGTATGTAACTCCAAACACCTTTTTTTCTAAATCCCATACTAATTAAACAAAATACCTTCACTCAGATATGACTGCACTGACACATGTTGAGGTCCACAGGATGTCACCTCTGTGCTCTAGACATTCCACCAGCCCTGCTCCAAAACTCACTGCTACCACCGGGAAGTTAATTTGTAAATTAAAATTCCCAACAAAGGGATTTTCCACATCTTTATGTCTGCACAGAGACCACACTCAGATCCTTGCAGGGGTTTTTGCAGAGGTGTGCAAAACCAGTTTCCTCCAGCCACATTTCTACAGCCCTGCCACCATGCACTGCTGTAATGTCAGATGGAATTGTTAAACAATCACACAGCTCCCCTTCCAAAACAAGGGTACATGCTGTCATTTATCTCTCCCTACTTGCTGCACCACAATCTTAGGAAATAAATCTTTTTTCCATCCTCAGTTTAGAAGCCATTCTTCTCCATCCAAGCAGAGCCTCACAGTAAATGAGAGTGGCCTCACAGCTTCAAGGTCCTCAGCCACCAAGTGATACACAAGCATTGTTATAAAACAATAATACAACCCTTAGCCAAAATCACTTTTTTTTTTAAGTGGGACAACGTAAAAAACAGGAAGCCATAAACAATTCTTTATTGATATTCTGTTTTTTTATCATAAAACAGTTGTTTCTTTCAGCTGGGAAGAACAACGCACATCTTTGGTACAAGACAATTTAAATAAACTGTACTTTTATGATTTGTGGAGTTTTGCAACCAAACACGGTCCTCAGCTTCCACGCTAACATCAAATCTATTTTTGAGCTCCTAGCTTGTACTTAACAGAGCTTTTCAAATTAAGTTTTGAAGGCATGTTAGAAAAGATCATGAAGTGTTTTTAAAAAATATTCTCACTGAAAAACTGCACCTTCCAAGTGCTACTTAAATCTACTGTTGCTCTAAAAGGCCCATTCTGCCATTCTCCTCCATGCACTCAGTGGAAAAACTCCATTTTCTTGCACACAGACCTACAGAAAACTGAACTGTATCAAAAATTAACTAAGATTCAAATGCCTGTTTTAAAAACAAGTTTTGTTACTCCTAGAATGCACTTTTTTTGTTTTTAAGATAGATTTTCCTGACCTGATGGACCAGTTTTCCAGAACTACCAGCACCACCTACGACAGCACATGCACTCCTAGACAATGTGACAAATGTGACAAGTGTGGCCTTGTCCAGGATCAGGGACAACCAGGAATTCTGCTCTGGTTAGTTACTTCAAATTAAATGGGTTAAATTTTTAATAATACTCAATACTCCGACTATACACTTTTTCTTGGCCTACTCTTCAGTCCAAAAAATCTCTATCATCCTATTCTGAGCATTTATAATTTATACTCCCTAGAACCAAAGCAGCCATTATCAAGCTATCTGTTTAAGCATGCATATTTATCTTTTCAAGTAACACTAAATTCTATTTTATTATTTCCATCCATAACTTCGGTATTTTCTAAACTAATTTATCCTTGCATTCTCAAAAATACATTGGAATACAGTTGGAAAGTAAGATCTGGAAACTGCTCAGCTAACAGTGGAGAAAGACCACAGAAAGAGAATTAAACTTTCAATACTGGATTAAAATCCAATTTTACATACAAGCAGAATATAAAATATTAAGTAATCACAAGAATTCTGCTGCCAGACTTCTACAAACATATTAAGAAAATAACTGCATGACTGAATAGTTGTCTGGAAAACATGCTCCAGAGAGTTTCTGGAGAAACTTGCTCCTAATCTATCATGTAATTTGTTGAAAGAAGTGACTTCTCCATGGTATACAAAAATAGTCACAAACAAAGATGATTCAGGACACTGTTAACAAAACAAACCCCAATATTTAAAAGCTGAGGCCAAAAGGACTGATTTCCTGGTGAATGAACCAGAGCTCTTAAAACAACTATGTCAGTTTGATCTTAGAATTTTTAATCAGATAAATTCTCCTTTTTTTTTCATTTACAACTGTTGAGAAATTAATGAACTAGATGCAGAAATCTAAACTTAACTTTGGATATGATTGCTCCATAGCAAAAGAGCATTTGCAGGTATTTAATTAGTGTAAAACTGATGTTTGACAGCTTTCACAATGACAAGCTCAAAGTGCAATCAAAGCATTTAAACCCAGCTTTTAACCCCATAGACATCTGTGCATTTTAAGCCACAGAAGGAAGGTTTCTTTCCTGAAGCAAAATACACATATAGAACACATTAAATGTTTTTCAAGATCAAAAGCATTTGTCTCATTTCTTATCAGGAATTTGTAATGGCTGTGGAACTTAACTACCATGTGGCCAAAAAATAGCACAGAGCCATGTTTGTGTTATTACAACTCCTCCTGGGCTCAAATGAAGGGAGCCACCAGATGAACCTTCCAAAATGCTGATAAGAACATGTCTGCCAGAGATGGCTTTAAATTATACACCACTGGACCCACAACAAAAAGCTGCCATAAAACAGCACTTCTTTGTATAGGAGACAAAACCCTGTGAAATGTATTTTTATATTTGTTTTGGGACAGGGATCATCAAAACCTTGCTGCTGTTCTCAGCAGGGAAAATAAATTCCTTTCATTAAAGGCAGCCTAATAATGATTGAGTAAGAGTCAGCTGAACAAGACACCTTCACATTGCACTGGTGATTAACTAAACAACAAACAACTAACAGTGTGATCAATTAAAAGATTAATTCTCATCTTTTTCTTCATCTTACAATACGAAAGAATAAAATACAAATACAGGACTGTTCAGTTTCCTATTAATATATTTACTAACCAGAATGGAACTTTCAAGTTTTGCAACATCTTAATACCTCATTAATCTTCTTCAGGCTCACTGATGCATCTTTAGATAACACTTAACATACCGTTAAGTCATGGCTTTAAGAAAAAATATTATCATTGTGAAATCTCTTTCCAGAAGTCTTCATATTTCATCAGTTACAGCAGTGACACTCAAGCTTTGATAACTGCTACCTTGGCTCATTACTTCTCCCATCTCAATTTAACTTTATCATCAGATCAGAGAATACAGCTAATCTTATTTTGCATAGCAACATGCATCTGGCAAAGGTGCAGCTCATTATCTCGGAGTTCTCACAATGGCTCTGCCCCACTTGTCACATCTCTGTTTATCTCTCCATCGATCAGCAGAGCACACCGAGCACTGCCATGCCCAGACCTCCTCACTGTACAGACACGAGATGTTTCACAGTTCCTGGAACAGAATTCAGCTGCAAAGTCCTAAATTCACCTGCTCAGATTTCTGTGAAATTCTAAACAAGCGGCATCACTATATTTTTTTTTCTTTTTTTTTTTTTAATATGTGGTCTCTAATAGTTTTCTTCCCTTTGCAGATAATTAAGTTTAAAGGTTTGCTCTGCTCCTTTTTTTAACATGGTCGTGCCAGGCTGAATTCAGTGGGAGGAGCATTTTAAACATAAGCAACAATATGTCAAAGTAAACTTAAATTCAGGCTCCTGGCATTCTATATGGAAATCCTTACCCACACAGAGCACTGTTCTTCCTTTTGTCTCTGAGAACACGATTTAAGTAGATTATCCTTTCTGAGGAGTACTGAAGCTTTTTGTGTGCGTGCTTTGGAGAGGGAACACTATTTTACAACCATTTAAAATCTCCACCAATAACCCACATGTAAAGAACTGAACATTTATAAACCAAAACTAGACAAAAATATCCATCTATACAAGTTCTGACTTACCATATCACACACTAGATTATTTTCCAGAAAAAAATAAACACACAAAACCAGCATCAGGAAAAGCACAAATAAAGTGCATTACTTTTACACATGCTTCAAAATTGAACAAGGTGCCAACTGAGCTAAATCAAGCAGCATCCTGACATAAGATTTGAAATGTATAGAAATGAAGACAGGCAGAAAAAATACTCACAACACAGTACATACTACAGGGGAATGTTATGAGATCTATTACTTCTATCCTTCAAATATTCTCTTTAAAATTGTATTCAAATTCTGCAGGCTGCACTTCACTTTCCTTGTAGCAAATGCAAAAGCAGCAATTCTGCAGTCAGGTAAAGCAGTGTCTGGGCTCAGTATATTCAAACTGACTGGTGTATAACTGGTACAGTTTTCCCAAGGCAAGAGTAGAAACTACAGCAGATTTCTCCCCAGGAAAGATGTAAATAAAAAGCATTTGTGTCTGTCTTTTACTTTCTTCTACTGGAAAAAACAAACCAGAACGTAAATTACGAGGTAATCTTATTTAAAACAGAGTTTCCCTATTGCAGAAAACTGTACCAATTTGGTACTTCAGCAAACTGATTTCTAAAACTCTGTGACGTCTGATCCCTAACTAGTGAGTAAACTTCTAATAATTCTTTGTTACTTTTTACCAAGAGGGAACCTGTCCCCTGTGCCTGCGAAGTACAAACTGTTGAGGTAATACAACAAACAGCCGCAGGACAGCAACTTCAACACATGTTCCTGAACAAACATTACAGCGATCAAAAACATTTACAGCTGACTCCAGGAATGTAATGGGATACGGAGGCAGCCACGGCATTCTCTGGCTTTGCTTATACCTTATCCTACAGAGAGCTTCCTCAAGTCAGGCTCCAAACCTAACAATGCCAGATTTTATTGAAGTTCTCAGCAAGGGACAAATGTGAGCAGATGAGAGAATGGAAAATAGAAGGATTATAAACAAGATTCTTCCTTGCACACTGTGCCCTTGCAAGATGGGTTCTGGCTTCCAAGTTTGGCTTCAGTCACCAGTGGCTTTGTGACGCAGAGCGCTGTATGCTCCCGTTCTGCACTTGGGAATCATCTTCCCAAGGTTTGGCTCATCCTCAGTTATCTGCCTCTTCCTGATGTTATAGATTAGCTTTTCTTCATGCTCTGCACAAGCCACAGGCTCCAAGCTTCTTGCACAACTCCCATCTGTGTTGGTTTTTTGTCAGGGTTTTTTTTACCTGCTGTGACAGGCAGTCTCCACACCATTTCTCTTTCTTACCAACTACACGCTCCCAGTCTTCCCGAGGATTCCATGTGACACACACCCCCCTTTTAAAGGAAATAGGACAGGAAACCCAAGAAGAAATACAAAATAGAACACACATCAATGATCTATAAGAAGCTTTAAATCACTGAACAATTATCCAGAAAGCTTTCTTGATAATTTATTCGATGTCTGATTAAATGACAGCATGCAGTCATATTGTTGAAGTGCAACAATTATAAACCAGACAGACACGACAACATAATGCTTCAAGCAGGCTGCATGCCTCAGAAAGACACTCAGCAAACCATAAAGACGCCTACGTGTTTCTAAGGAAGATTAGTGGCAAGTTTCTTACTCTGTGGCTGCCACAGCCTTTGTTCAAAAATCAAACTCTGCTTTTAAAATTCAGATACACCACCAGTTCAAACTTCTAAATAAAATTTTTTTTAAGTTATACTAAGTATATACTATATACTTAGTATTTCTTAGATATTAAAACTACATTTCAAAGGATTATTCCCTGTTTTAAGCAAACAGTCCCATCATATTTAAATAAAATAAACCACAATTGCTGTTGGTGGGGGAGCTACAGCAGATCACAGAGCAGGTCCTCTCCAGACATGCACGGAGAGTTTCTTTGTAATCTAAACATTTCAGAATCCAAGGCAGACAGGTAGCAAATAATAAAATAACATACAAGTGAGATGAATCCACTCAGCTGTGGATAATCTGCAGAAGGATTACATACAGGCACAACTCAGGCAGCATCAGGGAACTGAGGAAAATGGTGCTGGGCACTACAGACGAGAAACTAACTCCCATGACCTCTCCAATGTCAGCAGCCCCTTTTAAAAGCAACCTAGAATGAATTTCCTTACTGTCCAAAACATTTTATTGATCCAAGTACAAGTACTTCATCTTAACAGTCGTACTGCCCT